ACCTTACAAGTTGTTTGAGTACTGAGGCGAGACATAAGTGCCAGCCCATTAATAACCTCAATGTTAGCTGTACTGTTATGTAAACAAAGTTTAGTAATTGTAAAGCATTATACAATTGCAATGATGACGTAATTGCATAATGCTTTAGTTTCTCCTAAATTCTTTTAATTCTCCCCCCCATTTCATTTTTACCTTTACAAACTATGTAAAGCTGATAAAGGTAGGTATCACTTCCTTTAAGAGATGATTTACTGAAGTCACTATTGTCAGTTTCCAGAGAAGTCACTGGGAACTCAGAATGAGGGCCCTTTCAGCAGTTTTCCTTAAGCTTGCATGCTAACTGGTTCAATCTGTATAAGTAGAAAACGCACCTAGTGCTTCCCAACTGTTTGAACATTGTGCATCAATTTGCCTTATATACGCTTTCTATCCTCTAGTGTCTAATGATGTCAAGTATACATAACATATAGTCTAGTATATGATACATTCACATGACTGAAATGTGTTAAAATGATTCATGAATGAATCATTAACTTATTAAATTTCCCACCAGTGAGAATGTCTCACTTTGGGCAGCCTATTTCAGTTGCACTTTAGACTTAAATAACTATGGTTTAAAACTAAAGGTGGGTGTTTTATGGGTTATTTTATTGCAGATGAAGAATTGTTGCCCTTTCAGAAGGCTAATTTCTTCCACTGAAACCTTAAGTACATTAAGATCTTATCATTTATACACAATTTAGCTGAATTGAATTGATTAGGAAACATATACTTGTTAAATAGCTTGGGAGATCCAATGTAAGTGTTCTTTTACTGACTACTGAGCTAATTAACCTCATGGCAGCATACCAAAGTGGTTAAGACTACAGCTCTAGCTTTGTCACTTAATAGCTATGTGACCTGGGGAAATATTTAACCTTCCTATGACTTAGTTTGCTTACCTGCAAAGTGGGTACTAATAATACCTATCTCATAAGGAAGACTCACTGAGGTAAATGTAAGTCAAAAAATGTGCCAGGCACACACATAAGTATTCAATAATGTTAGCTATTAAGAAACCTAGTCCACTTAAGGTTTTTGGTTTACAAAACTAAACTATAGTATATTGTTCTTTCAAAAATGAGTCTATTATAAATCAAATGCTTATATTTATAAAATATCTCTAAATGCATGTTTTTAGTCACTAACATCTTTATAATTTTTATTACTAATTATGTTTCAAAATGGCTATTTCTAAAAGACTAATTTCTACTTATAGATTTAGAAGGCGTCTACTTACAGATTTAGAAGGCGGTAGATTTGGGCAATTATTCTTGGCTTTTAGATAAGGCCTATAAAAGACAAAATAAATAATCATCAGTACAGAAGGATCCCAAGCAAGGCTTGGAAAGTACAGTGATTAAAAATTATGATTAGAATTTCTGTAATTGCATAATTCAAAATTATTCAATAAAAAGTCTTCTCATCCCTTCCTTAGGCCTGTATTCTCCTTCTCAGAGACCACAACTGCTCCTATACATTTTTTCTATGGTCATTCAGAGACATTCTATGCATAAACATAGCATTCTAAGAATATTAATGAAATATATGTATTTCTTTCATATTTGCATAGTTTTATTCCCTCAAACATCATTTCTAGAATACTGCAATGTCCAGACACTATACAATGCCAAATAAACCATTACCAGCTCCTTTAAAAACTTCCTTGTTTTAAGTATCTTCAAATACTATCTTTGTCAGTTTTCGGGGGTGGGGGAAGTGATATAATTAAAAAAAAACATGAACATACATGAAATCTAGCTAGGAAACAGGAATGCAAAAAAAAAAAAAGGATAAGGAACACAGAATTTTGAAGAAATCAATCTCCATGACCAAAACCAATTGCTAGACTAACAGGACTTTGATCATGATTGTTTGATGTTTGTCTCTCTCATCTAGAACATAAGCCTTGGGAGGCAGGACTTCACTTATTTGTTTGTTTTGTTTTGTTTTTTTTTTTTTTGGAGACAGAGTCTCGCTTTGTTGCCCAGGCTAGAGTGAGTGCCGTGGCGTCAGCCTGGCTCACAGCAATCTCAAATCCTGGGCTCAAGTGATCCTCCTGCCTCAGCCTCCCGAGTAGCTGGGCTACAGACATGCACCCACCATGCCAGGCAAATTTTTTTTTCTATATATATTAGTTGGCAATTAATTTCTTTCTTTATAGTGAGATGGGTCTCACTCTTGCTCAGGCTGGTTTCGAACAGGACATTCACTTATTAAGCATCATATTTCCAGCATCAAGAATGATGGATATATATAACAACAATAATTATTGAATTAATGAGTTAGGTTCATTTAATCTAAGAAATAGAGGTGAGTAAAATAAAAGTGAAAGCTAACTTTGTAAATTAATTTTCAAAATAAATTTAGCAATCAACTGAGGAGAAAATACATCAATGCTAAGCAAGAGGGATATATACAATCACAAATGATGTTGACGAAAGATAAAAGTGTAGTGGTCATGTTCTGTCCACCCATCAGTAAATTTTAAGAGATGACCAAAGAGTGCTGTCAAGCTGGAGCTATGGGGACTGATTGTAACTGACTCTCCTGGCTTTAGTAAGAAACATCAGAACCCAGGTCATTCAATTCTTGACCAAAATTGCTCTTCACAACAATCAATTTTCCCAGGAACAAAAATAGGGACAAGAAAAGTTTCCAGCATGGTGGGTAATTCTGGGTAGAACCTTCCCTTCTTCCTTTGGAGACTGTCATAACAATAATGCTAAATCGTTGCAGTGGACTAGGCACTGCCCAGGGGTTTTTGTCACAGCTGGACTGAAATCCTTTTTGAGTCACAGGATCCTAATGGAATCTGGGTAGACTGTAAGCAAAATGGCTTTGTTCAAAAGGTTTTAAGTGCTATTACAAAGAGGGCAACAAAACTTGCATAACTGTGGGTAGAAACTCACTTGGTATTTTGGCCTTTCAGTTTTCCTTGGCTGCTAGGTATTCCTGAAGCTTTCTCTGCCGCTCTTGCCAAAATAGGCAAGCAAACAGAATTTTAGCTTGAGATTGTAACCAGTTCATTAATATTCTAAAAGGTGACACTTTTTGGTAATGATTTTGGCTTTGCACCATAAAGTTAAAAAGTCCCTAGTCCTGTAAGTTTGCATTCAGTTAATATCACATCAACAATATCAGTTACATGCAAGGCCCTATACTAAGCTTTTTATGTTTCTTCTTTTAATCCATACAATAATCCAATGGGGAGTGCTGAAATTTGCAGTCTGAAATTTAGAGAAGGTAAATATGTCCAAAGTTACCCAGCTAATACATGACAAAGCCAGGACTTGAAAACAGAGTTACTAACCCAGAGCACTTGCTCATAGCTACTATTCAGCTACAACATTCTATGCTTTGCATGAAGAAATTCTGTTATTGGTCCACCTGAGTGTGGTGGGCAGGCCTAGTCTTGTTTTTTTTTTTTTTCAGAGACAGGGTCTACTTCTGTTGCCCAGGCTAGAGTGCAGTGGTATAGTCATAGTTCACTGCAGCCTTGAACTCCTGGGCTCAAGCTATCCTCCCACCTCAGCCTCCCCAGTAGCTAGGACTACAAGAACTCATCACCACACTCAGCTAATTTTTTTTTTGTAGAGACAGGATCTTGCTATGTTGCCCAGGCTGTTCTTGAACTCCTGACCTCAAGTGATGCTCCTGCCTTGGCATCCCAAAGTGCTAGGATTATAGGGGTGAGCCACTGTACCCGGCCTGGTCTTATGTTTTTTTGTTTTGTTTTTTGAAGAGATAATATTTACCCATAAACCCTTACATGGCTTCCTATAATATGCCAGGTTATGGAGGCTCATGGCAAATATCTATAATATTGTGACTTTCTATGCAAAGCATTTGTGAGGGGATGAAAAGTCAGTATTTCTGCCTCCAGGAAGTTTCAATCTAGGAGACACACAATACACAACAACAAAAATTACAATATAAGGCAAAATCTAGGTACCATAAGAGAGGGTCAATGAAAGAATTATGGGAGTTCATAGGTGGAGAATGAGTGAGGAGAGCAGGTGATTGGAGAAAGCTAAAATTAAATAATGATTAAAAAAAATAACAGACTGCAGGGCTGCCAAACTACTCTTAATCCTATCTCAACCGAGTTGCCCTATGTTCTGCACTCTGACTCTGATGCATCTTTATGAGGCAGCTGTGGAGAAATACATCCGAGGTCCATGTCAGGCAGTGTAGAGAGCAGGGACTGAGGAGTGTGGTACAGAGTGCTGGAGTTCTAGCTCTGTGACTTCTGGCAAGATAGCAAACTTTGCTGCTGCTGACCCTGTAATATAGGGACAAAAATTCCCATCTTTAAGCGTTGTTATGTAAATCCTACCAGGACCTAGTAGGCATCAACAGGCACAATGGATGAAACAAAACACATCCTGTGCACCTTGGAGAAGCTGGCATCTGAGCAGGAGTATTCTCAGGGGCAGGAAAGGGCTCCAGGCACATCTAAGAGGTCCGGGAACGCAGGATGCCTATCTCTTGGGGGCAGATTTAATCAATCAACTTCTAGCCAGAGCAGGCTCCAGAGGAGTGGAGAGAAAAGCCTCGCGTCGGAGGGCAAGGCAGAACACCCGGGTTCGGGGCGGACCCCGCCCCTTGGCAGCAGTCAAAGCTTGGGCCGCGCACCACAAAGGACCACACCCGGCTCCACCTAGGGCCCTCCGGTGGTGTGACTCCGGGGAAAGAGCCTCAGTTTACCTGCTGCTGCAGGGTTTACCGGGAAGATGCCCGTGGGGCGTGGCCCCGCGCACAGCCTCCCCTACCCCTGGCCCACCCGTGTCCCCGGGGGGCCAGGGCCTGGGCTCCCGGAAACGCCAGGGATAGACTTGAGGCAGGCAGACGAGCAGACGGGCAACTTCCCCGGGAAGAACTCCCTCGGTGGCCTTCCTACTTCCCCTCCCGTGTTCCAACGCCTTCAAGAAACAGGGGCTCGCTCGCAGTCTACTCACCGGCGGCAGCAGAGGCGGCGGGACTGGGCCCCACCATGCCTCCTCTGTGACAGTTTTTCTTCAAAGGCCGCGCCTGGAGCCGGGGCCGGCGCGCCACGCGTCCGCGCACTCTCATTGGCTCCCGCGGGTTTGAAACTCGCTAGTCGGCGCAGGGGAGGGCGGGGCAATAAGAAACAGGCACTTTGCGGTTGGTTCTCCTTCGGAGCTCTTTGATTGGAAGAGCGTGCAACGCCCTCCAGCTTTGAAGGCGGCTATGCCCTTGCGCGGTGGAGCCCGCCCCCGAGTCCGTCCCCGAGCCCGCCCCCCGAGCCCGCCCCCGAGACGAGACCACTCCTAGAGTTCCGAGGAGCTTTCCGCCCGGCGGGGAGGTGTGTGTAAAGCCTATGCCCGCGCGTGTTGGCGCTGCGGCAGCCCCTAAGCGGAGTGAGTGACGGGGCCCGCCTCCGGATTCCCTCCTCTTAAGACTCAGGTTCACAGGAGCTATGAAAACAAAAACAAAAACGAAAACACCAGAATCTGGTGAGTTAGGCGCTTCGTCGTGAGCATATATATCTTTACTCCTTATTGGGTCTTAGGAATCTAAAGGCGCTTGGTTCTTAGTACTGCAGGATGGTTTCTTTTTAATTGTGGTAAAATATACATAACATCAGACTTAACATTTTGCCTATTTTTGTTACGTTTTAAAAAGTAGCATTAAGTACATTCACATTTTTTGCCACCATTAATTACCACCATCCATCTCCAGAACTTTTTAATATGCAGACTGAAGCTCTGGATAGAACACTAACTCCCCATTTTCCCCTATCCCCAGCCCCCGGCAGCCCCCATTGCACTTTCTTCATGGATCTCACTACTCTAGGTACCCTGTAAGTGGAATCGTGCAGTATTTGTCGTTCTGTGTCTTAGGTCCAGAGCTGAGAGAAACACAGGAAGCCTCATGTGTAGCAAAATGCTGTTTATTTTGAGTATCTGGGTGCAGATGGATGGAGGCAAAAAAGCGTCCACGAGAGGAAGAGGAGAGCCTTGGGTTTTATAGAGGGTTTTTCCTGGAGGAGTAAGTAAGTGGGTCAGAACAGCCCTTTGTAATTAATTCTTTTTCAAACAACCAGCTCCTAGGACCCCGCCCGAGTCACATCCATCCTTAAGGAGAGCTAGGGAGGGATAAACTTTGTCTCTATCAGGAGGAAAAGGAATGCTGGCTGCAGCTGTCTGTTAGATTTACAAAGTCTAGGCACTCTCCAGACTCCTGCAGCTATCGTTTACAAGCCTAAATTTTGCATTAACTATATTCTGTCGTATACATACTTTTCAGGTTCTCACCCCGAACAAACCTAACGCTGTGACTGGCTTGTTTTACTCAGCATAAAGTTTTCAAGGTTCATCCATGTCATAGCATGTGTCAGAATTTCCTTCTCTTTTAAGGCTAAATAACATTCCATAGAATGGACATAACACATTTTACTTACCTGTTCACTCGTCTGTGGACACAGGTTGCTTCCACCTTTTGGCTATTGTGAGTAAGGCTGCTATGAACATGGATTTACAAATAACTCTTTGAGATCCTCCTTTCAATTCTTTTGGATATATACCAAGAAGTGTTATTGTTGGATCATATGGTAATTCTATTTTTAATTTTTTGAGGAACCACCATATTTCTTTCAGGGTGGCTACTGTTTAATGTATATTTTAGCCTTATGAGCTGGGTGTATGCCTAACTGAGAAAGGAATGGCAGAGGACAGATCTGGTAGTCCTGAGTCCTTAGACATACCTCATTCCCCTTGTTTCAGTCTTAACATTTTTTCATTTGAAGTTAGTCCCCTGTTTTAGCTATTCTCCAGTTGAATGGAGAAGTCTGGAAAATGCACTTGGCCCCTTGTGTGTCTTCTTCTCTGGGTGCTGGAGCGGTGGTGGGTAGAGAGGAGCAATTATATCTGGGCCCCTGTTTTCCAGGTTTGTGTCACCAGTTGGGTACTCATCAGGGTGTGAAGCCCTTGCAGAAGCCATTCTCTTTGGCCCCAAGTAGGTAGTTTGGGGGAGAACCATGCTAGGGTTTTTGGATTTGTGTATTTTGACATTTACATTAGTAGTATAAAATGTTTAAATAGGAAAACTGATCATTATTTGAGTAAGAATTTTGGACACTTTATCTAGGACCATGACTTTGTGCCTAATGGTTAAATCTAGCAGTTGGTCAAGAGCTTTATTTGGTAATGAGTAAGAAAGGGCTCCTTCATGGACCGTTTTGGAAAAGCGAAGGGGGTTCTGTTGGTCTTCATAGAATCAAGGTGGTTGAATGGTTTTCAGTTTTAGAAGTCATTTTGCCTGATCTCCCACCTAGTGCTGGACAATTCTACAGGTCCCATGTAGGTAGGTATCGTACCTTTGCATGAATACAGCTGGTGTTGGGGAGCTGCCTTTCCTGTCCTGTTATTGGAAAGCACTGCTTATTATGAAACTTTCCTTAAAATGAGCTCAAAATGCCCTCTTGCTCATTGGTCCTAGTCCTTTGGAGCAACATAGGCTAGTTCTGCATCCTTATTATTATCCTTTGGCTATTTGAAGGACTGTTTTGTAGGATACAAAATGAAAAAAACTAGACAGGTTTAAAAATTCTCAACTCACACAAAATATCCACCATGGCTCTCCTTGATCCTGCTGGCTTTAAGGGCTTCCCATTGCTCTCAGGCTAAAGACCCACATGTCCCTGCAGGACCTGGCCTTTGCCTACATCCTCAGCTTTAGATCACACTGTTCTCTCCTGGCTCACTGTCCTCTAGTCACACTGCTTTTTTCTTCATGAAGCTCCACCCCATACTCTTCTCTCTGTCTGGGAACCTAACCCCTCCTCCTCCTTTCTCCTAGTTAATTATTATTATTATTTTTTATATAACAGCTTTATTGAGATGGTCACATACCATACCATTCACCCACTTACAGTGTGAAATTCAATTTTAGAATATTTTCATTACCCCCTAAAGAAATCCCATACTCATTAGCAGACACTCTCAATTATCCCCTCCTCTCAGCCTCTAAAAACCACCTAATCTACATTCTTTTTTCTTTCTTTTTTTTTTGAGAGGTAGAGTCTCACTCTGTTGCCAAGGCTAGAGTGCAGTGGCATAATCATAACTCACAGTAGCCTCAAAATTCCTGGCCTCAAGTGATCTCCTGCCTCGGCCTCCCAAAGTGCTGAGATTACAGGCATGAGCTACTACACTGAATCTCTACTTTCTGTCTGTATAGATTTTCCTGGACACTTCATAGACATGGAGTCATGCAGTATGTACTTGGTGATGGCCTTATTTCACCTAGCATAATGTTTTCAAGGTTTATTTATGTTTAAACATGTATCAGTACTTCATTCCTTTTTATGACTGGATAATATTCCATTGTGTGGATATACTACATTTTATTTACCCACTCATCAGTTAATGGATATTCAAGTTGTTTCCATTTTTTGAATAGTAATGCCATGAATGTTCATGTAAAAGTTTTTGTATAGACATATGCTTTCAATATTCATGGGTATATACTTATGAGTGAAATTACTGGGTCATATGATAACTCTATGTTTAACCATTTGAGAAACTACCAGACTGTTTTCCAAAAGCAGCTGTAGCATTTTATATTCCCATCAGCAGTATATGAAGGTTCCAATTTCTCTACATTCTTAGTAACACTTGTTATTGTTCATCTTTTTTTTTTTATTTCGGCATATTACGGGGGTACAGATTTTAAGGTTTCAATAAATGCCCTTTCCCCCTTCCTCCCACAAGTCTGAGTTTCCAGCATGACCATCCCCCAGATGGTACACATCTCACTCATTATGTATTATATATTATAACGCCCTCTTCCACCTCACACCTGCCCAATACCCTATTACTGTAGTACCTATGTGTCCACTTAGGTGCGCTCAGTTAATACCAGTTTGCTGGGAGTATATGTGGTGCTTTTTTTCCATTCTTGGGATACTTCACTTAGTAGTATGGGTTCCAGGCTCTAACCAGGAAATTATAAGATGTGCTATATCCCGTTGTTTCTTAGAGCTGAATAGTACTCCATGTATACATATACCACATTCAATTAATCCGTTCTTGGATTGATGGCACTTGGGCTGTTTCCCACGCTTTGCAATTATGAATTGTGCTGCTATAAACATTCTGAGTGCAGGTGTCTTTTTTGTAGAGTGTTCATTGATCTTTGGTAGATGCCCAGCAATGGGATTGCTGGATCAAACTGGTAGATTCACTTGTATCGCTTTAAGGTATCTCCATATTGCTTTCCACAGAGGTTGAACTAGTTTGCAGTTCCACCAGCAGTGTAGGAGTGTTCCCCTCTCTCTGCATCCATGCAAGCATCTATTGTTTGGAGACTTTTTGATAAAAGCCATTCTCACTGGAGTTAAGGATACTACACTTGTGGTTTTGAATTTGCATTTTCCCTGATCGATTAGAGATGTTGAGCATTTTTTCATATGTTTGTTGCCATTCTTCTGTCTTCTTTAGAAAAGTTTCTGTTCAAGCCTCTTGCCCACTTTTTAATAGGGTTATTTGATTTTTTCTTGCTGATTTTTGTGATTCTAAGTAATCTAGTTATCATCCCTTTATCAAGATGGGTTAGAATGCAAATTTATTTCTCCCATTCTGCAGTTGTCTGTTTATTTCATGACCTGTTTCTTTGGCTGTGCAGAAGCTTTTTAGTTTCATCATGTCCCATTTATTTATTTTTGTTGCTGTTGTGATTGCCTTTGGGGACTTCTTCATAAACTCTTTGCTTAGGCCGATGTCTAGGAGAGTGTTTCCAACATTTTCCACTAGAATTTAATAGTTTCCTGCTTAGGTTAAGTCTGTTACCAGCGTGAGTTGATTTTTGTGAGAGGTGAAAGTGTGTGGCCTGCTTTACGCCTTCTAACAAGTGCCTATCCAGTTTTCCCAGCACCATTCTATTGAAAAGGGATTCTTTACCCAGCGTATGTTTTTGTCTGCTTTGCTCAAAGATTAGATGGCTATATGAGGATGTCTTTATCATTCAGGATTTACATCTGTCTCCCACTGTAGATATACCTATTTTTGTGCCAATATCAGATTGATTCTAATTAGTACACGCTTGTAGATACGTTTGA